AAAGAATATCTAGTTTGGACCCGGTCGCGGCCTTCTCTTTGGACGCGGAGAAGGCTTTCGACCGGCTGGAATGTGGTTTTCTTATGATGGTCCTCTCAAGGTTTGGGTTCGGGCAGGGATTCTATAACTGGGTGAGGACCATATATTCCAGTCCAAGAGCAGCAGTAATGACCAACGGTCTGTTGTCCAACCTGTTTGAACTCTCCAGAGGAATGAGACAAGGATGTAGTCTGTCGCCATTACTGTTTATTATATTCTTAGAACCGCTGGCTCTGAAAATCCGTGGAAATAGAAGCATAAAAGGGGTAGAGGCAGGGGGCAGCGAGCATGAGTTGTTTTTGTATGCCGACGACATCTTAGCTGTGTTAACCGACCCGCAGCACACTTTACCATCATTACTTGCATGTGTTGAATCATATTCTAAGATCTCAGGTTATAAGATAAATTGGAATAAATCTGAAAGCATGCCTTTGTCAGCATCATGCCATTCTAGGCATGTCACCGCCTTTAACTTTAAATGGTTATGAAATACTTAGGAATACTGTTGAATCCAAAATTGGAAGAAATAATGCAGTCAAACATGAACCCTCTCCTCCAGAAAATAAAAACAAACTGGGAGAAATGGGGAAAATTAAGACTATCAGTATGGGGTAAAATTAACGTACTCAAAATGGTGGTAACTCCACAATTCAACTATGTTTCCATGATGTTACCTGTAAAAATATCTTCAGATATATTTGTTCAATTTGAGAAAGTTGTAAAAGATTTTTTGTGGGACAAGAAGAGACCCAGGGTCAATATAAGGAAAATGTGGGCCCCGAGAGACATTGGGGGAATGGCTCTTCCAAATGTGAAACTGTATAACTTTGCATTTGAATTGTCACGACTTGTTAAACCCTGGACAAAGACTAAGCCTGACCTAAGGTGGATTAAGACTGAGCAGGAATTAGTGGACCCCTTTACGCCTGTGGACTTTCTATCCCAGAGGTCTAATACAGACAACCAGGAACTCCAGGACAACCCTGTACTCAGTTACTCAAAACATGTATGGAGAGAAGTGCATAGATGGTGTGGAAGATCACATCTGAGACAACCCTATGCCTCACTGTGGCATAACTCAGCAGTACAGATTGGGAAAAGAACGCTATATTGGAAGGAGTGGATCGATAAAGGAATACATATGATCAGTGATCTCTATAAGGATGGGGTGTTTATGTCCTTTGATGAGGTGCTTCAAAAATATAGACTGGAAAAGAAGGGTAATTTTTGGAGGTACTTGCAACTAAGGGACTGCGTTATCAAGGGCAAATTCACCCAGGAAACAAATCCAATAACGGACATTCTGTGGAATGTCGGAGAGAGCGCAGAGGGCCGCAATACTATACAAAGTTTCATAATTTAAGAAAGGGCATATGTGAGAATCTAAGAAACATTTGGCAAAGGGATCTGGGATGCACCATAAACAAGGAAGAATGAGATAAAATATTGTTAAACTCCTGTAAATTTATAAAGGAGGCCAAGGGGAAATGTATTCAGTCCAAACTGCTACATAGGTGGTATTTAACTCCCTCTAAACTCCAAAGAATGGGAATTATGCCAAATGATAGTTGTTGGAAATGTCACTCAGCCACTGGAACGTTTATGCATGCTATTTGGGAATGCAATGAGGTTTATCCTTTTTGGGAAAAAGCAGACATGGATCAGCAAAACTGTACCAAAATCACCAAGGTTATGTTTGTTGGGGGATCAGTCAGTCATGCCAGGAGTAACAAAATGTGAATATGTGGTTGTAAAGGTGGAGGTAATTACAGCAGCAAGGGTAATTTTGAGCATGTGGAAGGATCCTGCTCGTCCTGAGTTTAACAGGTGGAAAGAAAATATATTTAAAATTGTCTCATACGAAAAATAATTGGCCAGCATAAACGATAACATGGATAACTTTGATAAATCCTGGGGGCACATTCTCGGATCATAGCCTAATCACTCAAGCGAATAGGGTGAATACAAAGAATGGGCGTTTTTTGTTTTTCTTTCTGTTCTTCTTTTTTTGTTTGTTCCCTGTTTTAGTTTCTCTCATACAGGTACAGCCAATTTGTAAATATTTTAAGAGCCCAAATAGAGTGTGTAATGTAAGTGGATTGTAATGTTTAATGCTGTCTGTTCAAACAAAAAGTTATAAAAATAAAGAAAAACTTGAACTACAAAAAAAAAAAAAAAAGATCCAAGTCTACATTCATAAATGTGAAAAATCACAGCAAATATATGTAAAATAATTACATTTAAGCAGATTTAAATACAGTAAGACAGATTTTTTCGGTCACACATTGCAAAAAAGCAAATTACTCTTTCTTAAAAATTTACATTTTTTAATGCACATCACGCACAGTTTTGGCCTGATTTTTGTTTTTTTGGGGTTTTTTTTTTTTCAACAGTCAACATGTAAATTAATTCAAACTTTTTCTGTGATTTTACCATATCTGTAGTTTCAGACGGGCAATTTAAGGCAGGGAAAGTCAGTAAAACAACAAAGAAGCATTTTCCATTTTTAAAAATTCCTAATATACATACATTTTCTTTCAAATAGAAGAATTATCCTCAAAAACTACTCTTTTTTTCTGATTTAAACACAGGAGAAAATAGTGAGAATTGGCCTATTTTTTCAAGGTTAACCTGTAAGTAATACGTTTTTTTTGTTTGTTTTTTTTTTGTGAATTTACTAGTTATTATCTGTAATTTAACAAAACGGGAAAAAATCTGTAAAATAATCATGAATAGTTGACAAAAAAATTGCAATTAAAAACTTTATAGTTTATGTATCCTGCTGCCCCACCATGATGCCTCCTGTTACAAAAGGACAATAACTTCTAATAACTTGTTTAACTGTAAACTAAATTTTATAGTTCATCCCACATCCACCCAACCGGTCGAGGCAGATGGCCGTCCCTCCCTGAGCCTGGTTCTGTCGGAGGTTTTTTTTTCCCCTGTGGGGGTTTTCGGTTCCTTCCCACTGTTGCGGACTGCTGAAGCTTATAGGGAATCCAAATGTTTTGGATTGTTGGGTGTTTCTGTCTCTGCCTTTGTGCAGCGCAATACAAATAAAATTGAATTGAAAAAAAAAAAATGAAAGTTGGATTGTTTTTTTTGTTTTTTTTTTACATTGCTGTAAAGTTTATAATTTTAATTTTTAATTTTAAGATTGTTTTTTAAATAAAATACATTTAAATCTGACAACAAACATTGCAAGAAAGAATCAGTACTGTAATGTTCTAAAACTCAAATAAAATAAAATAAAATAAAACATTTTAAAAAGATGTGAAAATTACGGCAAATATTTGAAACATTGATGTTTTTAGTGGATTCAAGTTCAGTTAAACAGTGTAAAAAAACGAGTCACACACTGTGAAAGAGCAAATTACTATTGCAAAAGTACTGTTTTTTTTTTTTTGTTTTTTTTCTAGTGGACATTTTTTTTGGTTTGTTTGTTTTGGGAGTTAATGTATAAATAAATACTATTTTTCCAGAATTTTACTAGTTATTGTCTGTAAATTGACAAAACAGGGAACAATTGTAAAATAATAGTAATTTGGAAAAAAAAAAGTTTAAAAGGTGCTTCTTTTTTACAGTGTGCTAATTCCAATTTTTAAAAAAATAAAAATATATATATTTTTTTCATCTTTATGAATATTGTTATTCTAACTGTACTCATGCTGCACAGAAGACATTTCTGAGTTCCTTCTCTTTCTTTGTGGTTGTTCTGTTTTCATAGAGGACTTTGTGCTGCAGTGAAAAATGAGCCCACAGTGAGTAAAAATGTGACGGAGCAGAGAAACTGTTTCAGAGGGTTAATCGTCCAAACAGGGATCACACACGCAAAAAGAAAACAACGTTCCCACAGCTCCAAGTTCTACGTTCCAATTGGACTCTGATGTCCTTATATGTGCAGATATCTCACAGCTCAGCAGCCGAGAAAACACGTTCTGTGTCGTAGATGTGAATGGACGGCTGCACTGCTTCTGTTCATGAATGAGTGAAGAGATTAATGCAGTGTTAGAGCACCGTGTTCAGGAGTTAACCGCCACAAAGAACCACGATCATGGATGGAAGACGTTCTCACGCAGCCAGCAGGGAACGTTCCCACAACATTGGCTAACATACACGTAGTTCTACTTGTGTTTTGAAGTTTTAATCTAATGTTATTCTCAAAAGAATGTTTTGAAAATATTTATCATTTCAAATAACGTTCCTGTGAGCTTAAACGTGAACTGAGACAGAATGTTCTGAGAATGTTTGGAGGATGCATTTTTGAACGTCTTCAGAGAACGTCATCCTACTTTTGACGTTCTGGGAACCGAAAATTTTTTAAAAAGAGCTTCCTGCTTAAAACGTTGCTAGAACGCTGCAGAACTATCTCAAAACATTTTAAGTTTGTTTCCAAAAATGTCCCGGTGAAGTTGAAAGTGAACCGAGAGAGAATGTTCTAAGAATGTTTAGAGTCAGATGATGTTCCTCGATAACAAAAGAAGAACGTTCTCAAGGCAACATTCAAAAAATGTTTTCCAGATGTTATCGAGGCCTCGGATGATGTTTATGAAACGTTCCGTCATATACTAACAAAGGGTTCTGAGGATGTTCTCTACGAAACGTTCCTGCAATGTTCCACATTGTTCTTTAATAACAGAGGAAGGGCGTTCTTTAGGCATAACGGCAATGTATCCCCACGTCCTCCTATTTTTGAGAAGAACATTCTAGAAACAAAAAAAAAGAAAAAAGGTTCCTGCTAAAACGTTAATAGAACTCTGCAGAAACATCTAAGATCACTTTCAGTATATTTCTCAAAACAACAACACACACAGAAGTAATTACGACAGATACAAAGAGACACAAAACAACAAAAAGGCAACACATAACCACAAAGAGACAAAAAGAGACACGAAACAACCACCAAGAGACACAAACTGACTCCCTCTCTAGACACAGGGAAGCCGGGCCTGATGTTCTACCTGCAGCTGCGTTGCCGTGGGAAACCAGGTGATGGTGCCGGTCCAGGTGGGCGTGGTCACTTCTGTCCAGTCCGCCATGAGATGCGACACACACACTCAGCACACAGGCCAGCCACACACACTCCATGTCTGCAGAGAGAGAACGACATACCTGTAAGCCTTCCTATCAAAAACACACCTGTTCACTGATGCAACCGGCGCAGAACTGCTCAGGGATCCGACCCAAAACACTTCACGGTTTGCAGGCTAAAACCTACTAAAAAGTACTGAAGGCTGACAACCTTTTATTGAAAAGGACCAGAATTCACTTAAAATTTAGCCAATTTTTGATTTCATTCAGGTCAAATTCTCATTTTTTCCCCATCAGGCTCTTTTTTGTAAAAAAATAACATTTAAAAAATTCACACCCTCAGTTAAATAGAACCAGATTCATTTTTGAATTTCAACAATATTACTGAGATCTTACGCAGGCGAAATTCTCAACTATTTCTGTCAGGTGCAAAAAGAAAGTTTTGCTTTCTGTCCAGACAACTAACCTTTAATCAAGTAACACCAGACTTCATTCAAAATGTTGCCAATTATAGTCTAGAGTTTAGCACCAGAGTTAATCCTCGTTTTTGCCAAGTTCAGATTAGATTTTGATAAAGCAAAATTCTGTCAGCAATGGTGTTAAAAAAAAGAAAAAAAACAAAACAAAACAAGTTCATGCTGTCTGATATACAGTTAGTGTTTGATCCACTGCCACCAGACTTCATTCAAATTTTTGACAATTTTAGATGCGAGCAAACCTCTTCATGTTTTCTATCAGGCGCCTTTTTGCAAAACGCAAAGAAATTCGCAAACATCTCATATTTGATCAAACGGGACCAAAGTTTTGTTTTTTTAAAGTTTAGCCAATTTTGGATTTACTTATGCAAAAAATGTTCTGTTTTCTTTCACCAAACTCAATTCAAACTTTTGCCAGTTTTAGCTTTTGCTGCTCGTGTTCGCTTTCATCCCTTCATGGCTGCAGCTGATCAACTTCTAATAGATTTTTATTGATATTGCATCCGGTATCGACAATCCTGGATGGACCAGCAGCTGATAGGTATCACAGTGATGGTGTGTAAAGACGATTATTGATCATTTTTAAAGCAACAGTCGTTGAGTTTTAAGTAAAAAAAAATAAAAAAATCACTGAGATCTGAAGCAGCGTCGCGGGGGCGCGCATCAGAGAATAATGAACGAGCTTCGGATAAACCAGCCGCACGTGACCCCGATCGCAAACATATCGATCTGCAGCTCCATCGATCAGCTCCATCTCAGCTTCCGCGGTTCGCTCAGTCCGCCTGCTTTAGTTGTAGTTGAGTTCAGTTTGATTTAAACTCTTTTCTGTCGCTTTGATTGTTGTTTATCAGTTAAATAAAGTTTGTTTGTGCGAATAAAGTTCATTTAAAAGGTCACAGGTCACACAGGTGCTCAGTTTCCCACCGACTCGTTTCAAAGCTGCGGGAAAACAGTTGGAAGTCATCGATCACTCACCTTCTGCGGCGGCGCCTCCTCTAATCCATCGATCCGGACCGATCAGCGCTGATCGAGGCGACTCAAACTGATCGAACGGGATGATCGGATGGCGGTAAAGGAGCGGAGCGGACAGTTAGCTGCTCTGTTCTCCACCCTCAAACTCAACCTCAACCAGCTGCTGCGGAACAAAAAACACCGAGACATCCGCCCGTGCTGCCTTCACGGACCTGCAAGAAGCTCCGACATCAGACGGTTCAAATTGAAAAACAACTTTATTTAAACTTTTCTGGAGCTACATTTGCTTATTTCATAGCCTGCAAAATGCCACCGAGAT